AAAGCGAAGGGTGAAGCCAAGTGAAGACGTGCGGAGACGCAAACTTTTATGGGTAATGGTCCAGTGCTCAACAAAAGGTAAAACACAAAGGTAGAGATAATGGTGCGAGGAATTTGGTCTATGTAGCAAACAGAACTATATTGAAAAAAGGGTAGCGTTGTCCTGTGCTGTTCAATATCATTTGCCCGTAGACTAATCCGATGGAACGACGTAACAGTGATGGCACTGCACTCACAGGTGCGTTCTTATTTGTCGATCACGACCCCACTGCAGGTGGTCGAAGAGATATATTAATGCGCGCGCACCTCCTTTCCACTAGCGTTGTGCCATCGCAGTAATAGCCTGTAATTAGCCTTTAATTACACCAAATTCCTCGCACCATTAAGCTTTAACAGTGTAATCATTATCAGGGCTCTACCTTGTATTAGGTTACACTGAAGAAACTGTTTACAAAACCAGGTACCCGTAAGTAAACTTAATAATCCTAGAGGCTCCTGTGTTTGACATTCTGACAAGGACCGAAACAAGTTCCTGGCCTTAAAAACTACTTTATTCCCAAGCCTGGTCAGATTTTTTGTCAGATATGAAAGGGTCTTACGGCGGGTCTTACGGCACGTAGAAGATGTCATACCAGACATCTTATACGTGTACCTCAAAATAAGCATTACCTAGGATTTTACCTGAACGGATTTGTAAATTTTAATTCACTGGCACTTCCCGTGGCATTGATTCACCACAATGAGTACCTATGTAATACAGCAAGACGAGCTTTATACGCACATAAACGAACGTCCTTACATGGGTCGAGATTACATAGGTTTACAACTGGGCCTTTCGTAAAGCTTGCCCATGTCTGTGACATCATGCATGAAGTCCCTGCCTCTCGCTCCCTGGCATTCTAAAAAATATTATATTCCATACTAAATATAATTGTTTAATTTATAAGGCTCATCAAACTGGTTTTTGTTATATACAACGTGACAAGCGATTCAATATACTTTTGAGTGACATAAACGTCATGCAATATGTAAAATCAATCTCCTAAATTTTAAACGTTGACATCATACCGATGTCTCAAAAAGTCCACTTGGTTAGTTTGTAGTTGCGTTTGCACAATTAATACTCTATCTCAAGCTCCGACACCAAAATAGCGTTCTCTTGTAGCTTGAACGGAGACAGCTTAGCTGGGCAATCAAAGGACCTCGTAGTTCGTGTCACTGTTGTCACTGCGCGCTTCGACATGCCACAGCATTGCGTTCGGATTGTCGATTTGGGGGGACCGCATGTCTATGGAAACGCGGTTGCTAAGGCTAATACCTTGACTGCTCCGATTATGCTGTGAATTAGCAGATAAACAGATCAAACACAGTACTGTCGGAAAAATCAAGCTGATGTTTACAAGAAATTTGGATTCAGCCTAGATCGTAACATACCTATCCTCACTCTGCTCTTTAAAAAGCATACAGACGAACATACTCTGGAATACGTACAGATGGAATTATAAACAACAGTACATCTGTTATGATACTCACAGGCAAAAACCATTTATGCCGCGTTGGTGATGTTAGCCATGGACAGACATTCAAGAGAGACAGAAAGATAATGGCAAATTAGGATGAAAGACAACACGGAAACAACAGACAGACAAACTGACGAATTCTATTGACAAACTGATACAGAAACTAGACAGGTGGCAGTAACATTATGCAATAAAATGGAGAGGAATATGAGCGTGAGTAAAACCAGCAAAGCCTCCAATGTGAATTCTAAAACATAACTTAAAAGGTTAATTCGAAAATACACCAGAGAAAGAAACCCCTTTGGAACAGCCTAATCCATAAATTACAGCGGAGAGAGCAAGCGGTTGAAACAACAAGGTAAGAAAAAAAAGAAAGGCAGTACTTACAAGGACAACTTCGATTATAAGTTTGATTAATAGGAAGATGATAGGAATGGTCAATTCCACCTGAGCAAGTCAAAAGGAATTAATTATCAACAAATTAAAACAAAGATTTCATGATGTCACACAATAGTGATTGATGCAACACGTTAATAATAGGGACAATACTATGGTGACAATGTGGCTTGTACATTCGGAAGATGGTCATGGGAAGGGGCTTGTATGTTTAAGGAGTATTGAACACATTTTGACATTTGTTTGAAAAAATATACTCAATAGCTTGAATGGATCACTTACCGCATGAATGATATTAACTTTAAATGGGGATGAACCGAATGCAGAGCAGAATATGACTAAACTAAAAGAAAAAAGGAAAAAAACAAAATAAAAAAATCAGGCTCTTGGGCTGATAGAACATAGTCAGTTAATCAAAATACCCTTGTAATCATTGCCACCCTCCCCAGCAATCTTCAAGCAACGACTATTCTGATACTATGACTACTCTTGGATATATATCACTACTCTAAGATCACCACCACAACCCCATCGTGCACCACCCACACCTTCCTTACCATTTTATAATCATTTTCACAAACAACCATATCTACAATGAACCTCGTACCTCATGATTGGATAAACGAGAAGAAGACACATTATTCGTCCTATGTGCAATCTGTCCGGCCTTGATGCCAAATGCTTGTCCCTGCCACGCCAAAAACCAACAAACAGGAAACAGACACATGCATAGACGACACCAACTGATAATTCATGAAAAGAAATAAAACTTGAAATGAAACTTATCTTTCAATGAAATCTAATTTGATAAATCCAAGCCGGACACCATCAATATCGCTGTCTAATGGTACTTGAGTCAATCCTTGCGTCACTGTTGACGTGGTAATATATAAAACAGTCGTTTTGTGCCAACGCTTACCGTTTCCAATGTGCTGCTAACCAAAACAGCAACTGGCAGACAGATGTGAAGAAGATAAGGACACAGTGGAACTGCACGGCTATGTTCTCATTCCTACCCGCCTTCTATCAGTCAGAAACAAAATATACAAACAAACGAAAAATACACGCAGAGCTGAAATCAATTCATTCTAGTAGTATTGGTATTTTAACATAAATCAGGGAGCTCAATCATGGACACATTGTAAACACACGTGTTAATGTATAACGCCTTCCTGGTAATACCTTATGAACGTGTTACAATCCAAAGCTAAACACGTTGTGTTTTTTCATCAAATAGGTGTTGATGTGTTGATAAATTTAGACGCAGTGAAACCTTTGGGTGTTAATAACAAGACACAAAAACGTGTTTATTGGGTGGTAACTCTTTCTGAACACCGAAATACCCTTATTTTCAAAAAGTTGTTTCATTTTAAACGGTTACATGTTTGAAATTAACGCAAAGATGCATTTATAATGGGCGTTAGTTTTTACAGTGCAAATTGCATGAGAAATTATTTCAGTGGTTCAGTGTCTTTAATATTGTATTTTCATTGGCCACAAAATGCTCACTTGATCGAAGAGAGATAAATACGTCACCCTCACCACTGGACAACACATTGTGATATTAAAGATTACTCTCTACACCACAATCCAAACAACAATGTTGGGGGGACTGCTCCCTAGACTATATCCATTGGTACCTCTGTTACTTTCACCATAGATTGGATAATAAATGCAGCAAACTTTGTAGGAGCAGCGAACTGGCACACAATACAATCAACTATTGGAACACTGGGATTTTTGTCGACGATTGAAGTTCGTTTTTTCGTTTAAGAATTCCTTGGCACTGTGTCTGCTAAGCTTTCACTAGAGCTTGGTGTTACCGTAGGCTATGTGGTCACACCCACGATTAACCTAGACTATTTGGCTGATTTCAGGCGGCTTGATCTCGATTTGTTATTCGTTGGACGGTCGCTCGAACGCCGGGAACGTAGGGCCGTTATTGCTTGTAATAAGTGACAAGCAGCATGCAACATGGTGGTGTCCTAATGCGTTATTTGAGAGTTAATGTTTGGGTAACTCTAAATTCTTCGTCATTTAAAAAGAAACATTTATTTCTGTGTGATGGAAAACTACGGTATTAATGCTAATTTTGCAAAACTTTCCATTATCTCTGGCTTTGTAAGCCATCTCGCTAGCTTTTACAGCTGTTCAAAAACCAGATCTCACGCGTTTTTCCGTGTGTTCCTGTACAAACCTGACGAGGACGTGGTGTGTGATCCTGTTCTGAGAACAGTGTTCTTGGGTCACGCGAGAACAAGAAACCCATGTCAAGAACAGTCCACCTGAACTCGACCACTGAATGAATTCATCAGGTTTTTTTTAAAGAGCACAGCAACCTAAGTTAAAAGTATTCAGAAATGAATCTGTTCGTGTCAATGCGGCATTAAATCCCGTTTTCTGCTCAAATCGCTCTTACCTCCACTGAAAATACTGACACCAACTGGAACCCAACAGGAACAACGCTGATGAACAACAAAGTCTACAAAGAGGTGGAGAAGATTGCCAGTACTGTAAATTGGGAAGAGAAATTAACTTCGCAATACTGTCAGGTTCTTTTACTACTGACTTGCTCGGCCCCGCTGTGTCTGTAATCACTCACTGTGTCAAACTTGAAAACAGTATGCACGAAATCTTGCAGAAACCCAACAAATACAATATTGGTAAACAGGGTAACCGAAAATAAAAACCACTTACCAATCGGTTGAACAGCAAAAGAAGACGGCTGAGCCTCTGAATATACTACATGGGAAATAAGGAGTGGGTTGAGGAAAAAGAGACAACTTGGAGCTGATTTAACTCGGAATGTTCAAGGGACAAATAAATTGACAAAAATTCCTTGCGTAGTTTATCAAGCAGATTTACTCTGGGGAAGAATATTTTCCAATAGCACTAACAAGAGTTGTAATTCTTTTCGTGTAAAGGTTCCCCCTTTAGCCTATCACAACTGACCGCTTTAAGTTTGCACAAGAACATATAAATGTACATGTACAGCACAAGACATAACTGCATTGCTGTGGACTTAAATGCAATTCAGATATCACCCAACTGAGGAACAGTCACAGACATCGGTAAATTGACCATTCTGACTCGACGTAATTCGACAGAAAATGACAAGGAAAATCCGTACCTTAATTGTTTCTTACATGGATGTACTTACGTAAAACATGGAGTAATTGATGTACCAGATCATGCCTGATGAAGACAAAAACACCGTCATTATGTGAACACAGAAGTAATGTGTACATTTCAAACGGATGACTTTTACTTTCACAAGTCATGAAGTCTAACTGATCATGCCTGATGAAGACAAGAGAACACCTTCAAAATTGCGTGAACAAGAGAACAATGTGTGCATCAGTCTAAAGGATGTCTTTCCGCGGTCGTAAATTCTCACCGATAGTTAGAAAAGTCGATACATATGCCAAGAGGGCCTCCTTCTTGTCCAGTAGAGATTGATACAATTCTTCCTTTTCCATGTTTGGATCCAATGGCAGCAAGGAATCAGATCTGTCGACAACAGAAAGGCAACATTATCAACAAACAGTAATGTCATCTGTCGTCATCACCGATGATGCCATGATCAATGTCTCTATCCCCACCTAGGAAAGCATCACACCATTAGCATCAGTACCAACGTATTTATCTATGCAAGTGATATTCTTGGCTCTGTTACCGACGGTGCAAAATATATGTATACTGTTGGTAAGTGAAATTTGAAGCTTTGCATGGTGGAAGTTAGATGAGATATAGGCTTGCGGGTATACCACGGAATATAAATCGCTTTTAAAAGAGGTGTGGATATTAGAAGAACCGGTGAGATCTAACTCGACGTTTCTCCTAAGGACGGCCAGAGCATCGAGTTAATTGTCACCAGTTCTTCTAAGGTCTTCCAAAAGATGTGGATTCCAGGGTGTACCCGCAAGCTTAAATCTTTTGCTGATGGTACTACATTAATCGTAAGTGGCATGGATGTTCATAAAATAAAAGGAAAATCGTCAAACAGAGTGACTCAGTCATGAACTGGATAAAACAAATTACCTTGTAAATTCATCTTAACAAGATAGCAATTATGTTATTTGGTTCCAGGGCTAAGCTAAATAACATATTGATTTTTACTTTCAATGATTGTGGCAATGCAAGTCAGGGTTACCAAGTACCTAGGGCTGTTACTCGATGCAGAATTCATGGAATGAGTTGAGAGGGTTACTAAATATATTTAGACTTAGCTTTGTATGCTTCCAAGGGTCAGACCATATATTCCCACAGATTCCTTGTACTTTCTTTATGACTCATTTGTTCGTCCTCATTTTGATCACTGTGCTGAGAGTTAGGCAGACAGATTCCAAACGCACACACAAACTTGAAAACTTCAGAAACGGGATGCGAGAATTATCTCGAGTTAGAAATATAATACTCCGTTCACTGAATTATTTCTTGGACTCCAATTAATGCCTTTAAATAAAATAAATGCCTACCGCCGTACTGTGTATTGATTTATAATGAACTACTTAGCCCAAGCAAGCTTAATGGATGATTTAATTCCATCAAATCTGGTTAACAATTATAGCAAACGAAGTGCTTCAGCTCTCTGGTGGTTTCAAAGTTCAAGACAGAATGTCCATGGCACAACCCCCTTTTGATGGGATTTATATATGGAATAACCTGGACCAGTCTGTGAAATCAACATCATCACTTGGCAGTGTAAAATCATCCCTGTTATCTGTCCTCCGAGAGTTTTAGTAAGAGTGTGTTTACCTTGTCTTGTGCTCCGTATTCAGATGTTTTTAACATTCTGTTTTTACCCTTTTTAGGTATGTCTTATTTTCGTTTAATTCCCTTTTATAAATAAAACTTGAATACTGTCATTACTGTAACCTTCTGCCCTAACCATTCCACCCCCTCTCCAGTTATGACCATCACTGTCATAACCATGTCTCAGTCATAATTGTCGTCATTTCTCGCGCTGTGATATCTAATTACTTTCGCCACAGTAGTCTAGCCTCTAATAGCATGACTGCAACATTTTATCCAAAGCTGCATACAGTGAGCATGTTTGCCTTCGATTTTCTACGCAGGTTCATGATGGTTTATGACATCCTGCGCACCAGTTGCTGCGGCGAAATAGAACCACTTACGTGATGTCTAGAATGATCAGAGTTGCCACGATGATGAAAACACCGTCCGTAAAAGCTGTAGACAACACAAACTGGATGAGTATAAGCAAGCATATCACCAGAGGAGTTATATGAATACTGTATCAAGTGTGCCCAAACTTGTAGCATTAGGGCAATTCCAATAAGTTAGTTCTTGATTATTTCAATAATCCCTCTTAAGTCTGTCTGTGGCAAGTTTTAGGGTCTAACGGAAAACGGTGCAGGTAGAATAATGCATTTTAATAACTGTTTTCACTTGTATGTGATAAAAAGTATTCGTAAATAATATTATAGATCAAATATTAGAAATGTAGTCGTACATTTAGAATGATTGGATTACAAAATTGCCCGCAGATGAGTGAATCGATCAGTCAAATCTGTTAGTGTGTTTGATTATCTAAACAACTGTTTGACCACTATCATCTATCGATTGGTTGTGTGGTGCTGCGTTGGTTTAGGTAAAACACAACCACGATCATGCTTACTTTGTGTTCGGTCTATGTCCACATCTTCTAGAACGAACCGTCGGCATACATACGATCGCAGCCCAATGGTGAATGTGTTATCTAACCAAAGTGGACATTGAAAAACATCAAATTTCCAATTAAGAAAAATCTTTCGACACTTTTTATTGAGCTTTACAATGCCTATCAAAATTAGGAACTGTCAGAAAATCTTTTTGAGGCAGCATCAACACTGAGCTGCTAATATAAGCACAGATCACTGCAGCACCAGTGTCTTAAATTTAGAGTGCTGCTGCTAGGGCTTCATGGAGAAATACAAACTATACATCTATCCCTCGCCTTGACAACTCATGAACTCTTGACAATTTCACTTCTCCACCTGAGATGTATACGGCAAATTTCTGCCCATGATGAACTCACGTCTTAATGTATGCTGACAGAATCCAACGAAGGAAATAAATTAGAGCATACGTATACCTTTGCGACTTCTGTAGATGGCGACTGCAACGATGCATACCCAATCCGTAAACATGATCAAACCCAGGAAGACAAACGACTGCACACGAATGGAGCAAGCATTAAAGGGAAAATGTAATACAATTATTTCAAAAAGAAGGGGAAAAACACCACCAACATAACAACTGCGGTGGTGGCAAAACCACCACCACCACCACAATAAAACTAAGGACTGAGAGCCCATAAAAACCAATCGGTAAAAACAAAACATGGGTGTGACGGAAAAATCCTCAAAAGCCACGATTATAGATTCTGTTGAGTTTCCCGAGTGTGTTGTACGTGTAATACAAAATTTCGCTGCCTGCAGCTTAGATATTACTACATGCGTATATAGCGCCTCATAACGCTGCAAATAAACTATCATAGGAGTCAGTCTGGTGACAGCGCGGCGTGGCTGGCTGTTCACATGTGATTTTTTTCACACAAAATGCAGGGATAACAGATTCGTAAAAAGGCTGTGATCGTGGCTCTGGAGGTTTCTCCGAGAAGTAAGGTCCAATGTTTCATCGGTGAAAACTCCAACGAGGAGTAAAGACTAGCCTCCTCTCAAGACTGACAATAAATCATTTTCTTATGAGTAAATACTTGTGTGCCCCCAGACTATTGATAAATGAAAATCATTGTCAGCCAGGTAACTGACTATGCAACGGGAAATACTGCTGAATGAAACCATTTCGTCTTACATCATGGTGGCAAATTCTGTCCAAAATGGTTGGTGTTGAACCAATGGATTTCATTAAGACGACTACAGACTAAAATTATAAGCCTTTGAGCATATTTTTTTCAGGAATTAAAAGGAAATGCTAAAAAAGCATTTCTTCAAAACAGATCGTTTTTGTTCATGGCTTTTAGGCCTAAGAGTTTCACTGGAGAAGCGATGTACATGCTCACGAAAACAGAAATTCTTTCCAGAATCGTCTTGAGACAGCCGGCTCATATACATATTTAGATAGAATAAAAAATTATTCATGTCAATATCGGGAAAGTGCGAATATAGTAATTTTATTTAATTACAATTTTTCACAACCCCCTTTTTTACGAATGGAAGAGGCAAACAGACCACGATTTACAGACTTCAGCTCTCAAATCACTCCCCTGAATGTCACTTTTGACAATAAGCCGTTGACATTATTCGTTTTTGTTAATTTTCTGGCCACTAGAGTAGTAACCCACACTGCTTAACACGTTTCCACAAAATATTGTATTTCTACGAACAGAATATGGCCTTGTGATTTAAAAGTAAGAAAACAGAAACACGGGAGGAAATAGAACCCACATACGGGAGCCCGTTTCTAAATAGCACAACTCATGCAAGCAATAATTTTACTGATCATAGTTTTCAAAAGCAATATTTTACCGTTGGAACATTAGCTACCGCAATACCGATAGAGAAGGCAGACAGAACGATCTTCAGTCCAGCCGTTAAGAGGAACTCCACACTCAACCACTTCTGTTCATGCAGTGAAAACAAACGGCGAGAAAATTGCTCTCAGGAAAATAACTTTTTAATACCACTTATCTGTTTTAAATGCAAACCAGACAATTTACCTTTGATGATCCCTCTGCTAGCTGATCTGACAACATCTTCCCTCTACGGAACGCCAAAGCAATCATTATCCCCTGCCAAAAATAGCAACATGCTGTTACATCACACCCCACACTTACAAAAATGGATGCTTATAATTAGATGAAGAACGTGCACAAGGCACTTGCATGAATACGTGAGGATATCACCTGCTATACATGTAATAGAAAGACAAACTTATGCTCTGTACCTGGATCACTGAGAGAGCTAGAACACATCCTCCAAAAAGCTGCGAAATTAAGGAGAAGCGATAAAAATCACCCACCAGAGCGACCTGTAGTAAGTAGAAAAGGTTATTTGAACTATCCATTAACTGTTCAAGTTGTTTCAGTCCAGAATAGTGAAACAACCCAGAGAAGCGAATTGAAGAATAACAAAACTAATATTTACAACAATATTGAAATTGGTTGAAGGACCAAAGTGACACTGACACCGTATTTTTTAAACAACTTTTTGATGAAGTGCCGCGCGAATGTGCCGAGCACACACGGCCGACTATAGGCTCATTTTCATGAGGTTACATTTTTTTCTAGTACTTTCTAGTACGGTTTCTTGACAGGTGAAAGGTTACCGATTCATACTAACCAGCGCACAAACTATTGGCCCTGGAATTATGCACATAACAATTAAGCCATTTCAGTGAAACTGTCGCGCACAAATGTTTCAATGATAATTTTACTAATGTTTTGCAAACCCAAACTGGAGCAGTATAAACTTACCAGAAATGGGATTAAGGAAGCCACAAGTAGTAAGAGCTGTAAACAAAGCAGATGAAAATAAACGATCGAGAAAGAGTGACACAAAAAATGACAGAAGACTGTATGAATGGCCTTGTCCAAAAGTCGGCTATAAGGCAAGGTTAACGTTTTTATTTTGAGAACCTGTGGATAAAAATAAAAGAAACGATTCTGGCACCAACCATAGAGTTGATATTGTTATATCCAAGTCTATGGCACCAACCTATTTGACAGATTACCTCATTAAGGTAGATTAAAGAAAAATAATTTGAAAAGCCATTTCCCTCAGTACAAAGGTTCATGGCCCCACTTGAGGGATACATGTAGGCCTAGTACAAAATGAAGGTTTCTGGCTCTGAATATTCTACATCTGATTTTTGTGAACTGCAAAACAGGCCCCTAAATTGGAGGATTTTTGAACGAAAGACCCAACATTGGAATTCATATGTTCCAAGAGCTTCACTTACAGTTATTTTTTATTTTGTCATCGATCTTTATTAAGGCACGTTGTAAATAACCCGCGGGGTCACAAAATATCAATGAGCTCGCGCACACGTCGTGTACGTGATTTACACACAGCAGTGAAGAGGGCGGGTCTAGTGAAATCATACCGTATGGTTTAATGGTGCACACCATCCTGGATTGCACAATGCGCTATATAACGCGTTCGTTATGAAATGATATTTAGGAACACCGGTTGAAAGTAAACTATAATTGTTGACACCGTATTAATGAAAATGTCTGCTTTTCTGTAAGACTGTCGAGGAATTCGAGGGCCAAAATTTTGACTGAAAATTAAACAGTTAGACAGGGTCGTTATTCTAGTCGCAGTTTCGTTCAAACACGTTCACATAAACGTGTATGTGCTCGCGCTCTTAGAGGGGAGGGAACGAAGTGCATGTTGACGGGAAAAATGTTTAACTCTTATTTTCAAAAGCATTACATTGGCTCCTTTTAGGGGGTGGGGCGGAGGGGTCGTCATGGCCTCTATGCCTCCCTCTCGATCCGTCCTTGAAATGAAGCACATTTCTGGACGTTGCTGAGTTGAACATCTGCATCACGGAAGATAGACTACCAGTACATGTACGTATACTTTAAGTCAAAGACAAAAATGCGTAAACTGAAAAGGCTATAGGCCTACGCCAACCGAAAAGTCGTCAACTAAAAAGAGAAATCGCTGACTAAGCTTTCAAGGAAGAGAATACAAGGAAACTTTACTTGGTTTGAGTCGTTATAGCGAGGTTAACCATGCAGTTGCACATATAGGCTAGTTTGATGGTTTGCACGTTCACCGTTGAGTCAGATGTTAACAAACTCCGTTATTTCATTAGTTCCCCGCCACTAAGACATTTGGTTGGTTTTATTTCATTTAGAACTTGACGTACATGCAGGCAAAGCAAACAGTGTAAAACAACGGATATTTGGTGATTTGAGGGCAGTGCGGAGTGCGTCATCAAGTCTTGAGTCTTTTACATTCACAGCGCTATGCACGCGAGGGTAGACAATTTAATTATCAGCTCTGGTCACCTCGATCTACAATGTCGATTCCAAGACGTGTTAAGCAGTCCAGAGACAGGATAGCTAAACCCTATCAATCACCGCCGCTGAAGGGAAGAGAGAATCGGAAGCCAGAGGACCCGTTTCAAAAAGAATCATTTATGTCCAAGAGTGTATCGAAGGCGGTTGTCTGCGCAGTCTAGTTGAGCTGCGTCAATCGGATACACTTATCAAATTGATATCAAGTCCCGACTAGACATCAAGACAGTCACTGACCAAGTCTGTCCTATTACTAATGAAAACACTATTGTGAAGTTAGTCCTTGTTCAGACTGCGTGCTCATGACATTAATGGCTAGAGAGCCTTTACTGTATGTGTCATCTTATCTGAAAATCACCTAAAATGAAATCAGGATTTGTATCGAGGAGGTAAACAAAGATTAGTAGTCAACCGATCGAAAAATTACGAAAAAGGCTCGTGCACCGTAGCCGTTAAGCTCGGTCAGCGTCAGAGGGCTTTAATGTACGATGTCACTGACTGTGTGTACATAGGCCTACAAAAGCATAACGACCATACTTAAACCTGCAGGACAAAGTCTGAAACCGTGATGAGTCTGGCTTCAGATTTCAAACATAATATAAATATATAAAAAAAGAACGGGAACTACAAACAAAACTAGCCTTGGAATCGATCCTGACATGATATCCATACGATACATACCACATTCAGAATAAGTCCGATGTCGCCTACGTACTCAACTCTCTGTAGGATCCTGTGAATTCAGAAAAAAAATAATGATGACATTTTGAGTACAAAAAGTTCATTTTTTAGACCTAATTTGACCTGGGTATACATTGTATAATCGTACCACACGGCCCGCGTCCAACTTTGGGGGAGTCTTAAGTTTGAAATGTACAATAAAGAGGAGATATACATTCTTCACAAGTAAAAATCCCACACCCCCCCATGATAGACTGAAACTAAATTTCTTTTAACTGCATTTGTCTTTCAATCGAAATCGGCGACACAGACATTTAAAGGCAAGTACAAGAACGCAATTTGTCTGGACGAGATCCGCAACTAGAAATTCCCAATTTTTTTTTTCAATTTCGGGGGTTCCATGATGCCTATACGGGAAATGAATTACTATAGCTTGTAACCACAAACACGGCTGCGCCGCAGTAGAGTTTGTGAGCCGAGGCAACAAAATTAGTGATGAAAAATGACAAAAGCCGTGAGTTAATAAAGACGAAGGAGATTAATCTTCCTGGCTGCCGAAAAACTGTATTCTGGCCGAGACCGTGTTGGTTTTCATTGCATCATCGCGTGAAAATCTCTCGTCCATCCATCTTAATAATGCACATGCGTTTTTTTAAAAAGAAAGACCGGATTTTAATTAGGCCCAAACTAAAAAATACAGTATTGCAATAATATGCACAAACAAGCGCAGGGGAAGCTCCTGGGGGGGGGGCAATGAAGATTTCCATATTCAAGAGCTAAAGCCTGATGTTATTCAAGGGTATAGCTTTGTGTACAATACATCACACTTCATAACACTATAAGTGCCTTGTATGACAAAATAAAACAGCGCACTTGTGCACACGTTGATGAAAGTATTTTCCAGGAACTGAGAAATACCACCTTCCTTTCACTTCCCAGGAAAACAACCTGGTTTGTATTGTTGCAACACATATAATATGCATAAAAACATCAATCTTTCAATGTGTATCTCTTACTTGGTATCAGTATCGATGTATTCAAGTGCTATACGTGCATGTAAGCTTTCTATGTTGTCCAGGGGCTAGCACTGATCAGCGGAGAAACTAAATATTTGTGTCATAAACAAGGCCGCCATCATTAGCAGTACCGTATCATAGATTGGAAGACTTCATTTTAATGTAATAATTTACTTACATAAGACCATTAACTGGGATTTTATCATATCGTCATTCTTCATTTTTGCAAATCAAGGTCAAAGGTTATCTACCTATGTAATATTTTGTGGTAAGTGGTATAAACTTTAATTTATCTTATAAATGGAAACCATTTCAAGATCTTTAAAATGGTGGTAATTTTTTATCTTTGTTGGTGTATAGGAAATACATATAGCAGGACTGGTCAATTAGTCAAAAGTCCGTTAACCCTATCTCAAAACTAATTGACTGACTGACATACAATATCGGTTCTGAGGGAGCCTGATCAGCTCACGAAAAAGCATGTTCATTCACACGCAGTGACCCTAATGAACATTACAGGTGATGTGCCACAACATTTGATTTGGCATTCATGCAATTTTAGGCGGCAATATTTAGCTTAAGTCTTCTCGTCACACTAGACTGATATCCCTGCTTTGATGTTAAAACACATTAGCAAATGCATTTCAACTTTATTATAATGTGTGCGTTTTCCCCTTTACGGAAGCGTATTGCGTATTATTTTATTTCGTTCAAACGACTTGGTTATCTCGTTTAAACGAGATGAATTTTTTTCGCGTTGGCAGCAATGCGCTTCCGTACTCCTTATCCTGAGATACCTTTTCACCCAATTCGGCCGAGCACTTATTTTGCTACTGATGACAACCATTTCTAAGCGAACAGGGAGATGACACACAAAAGAATGTAGGCCACCTGCTAAAAGGTTACAGCTCGATAAATAATTTTGATACGGCCGTTGTAGCGTGGCGCTTCAAGTTACATGAACACATTTGCGTAGGCCTATGCAGACTGAAGAATAATTTCACTTCACATTTTTCCAACGCATGCATAATATTCAGGGTGTTGACGTTTTTGTTAAAGTTTCCCGTTTCGGTTGCAATTGCGTTTGTCACGCATTTTTGTAACTTTCTTCCCGCATGTGATTCTCTGTTCAGTGCAAGTCCTTGGCATACGCAGACCGCCCCAATAGAGATGAATTTCAGTTTTCGTGGAATTTCAGGGTGAAAAATTATTTAAAAAATGTCAACAATGCAAACTGCCGTTGATTGTGATTTATACTCATGGGTAATCAAAATTGCACTGTTTCACTGACTAATTTATTATTCGATTCGGAATCAGTTTACTCGAAAAGGCTGCCTACATTGATTCTGCAGTAAAATTGGAGCCCAGAACCATTTGGGAGGTTCTGGTCCAGGCCTGCAGCTATATTACCGTTAAATGAGCAGTACACTATACTGTATTTCATAGAAATAATCCATTGTAAACAAAATTTACACGAAACGAACTTATTGTTACACATGTTTATCAGAGCTTTGCAAAATGCAGTAAAATACTGCAAACGGTCGTGTTTTACAGTATAAGCTTTAAAATCAATTTGTATGACTTGTTCACTCAAATCGGGCGTTGCTTACTTCTCTCAAGTAGTTTTGCCATTTTTCGTTGTTTTATACAAGCATTTAACCTTATATCGATAAATGTTGGTGCTTTGTCGATGTAGTTTTCGCATCAGTTTTGCATTTTGGGGGGGGGGTGGGCTAAGCAAAAGTGGGGGGTGGTAAAGCCCACCTAGCGCCCCCCCCCCGAGCTACGCCTGCCATAGTCAACGTGTGGCTATTTATTGTGGCTGAATTACGATCCAGTGTAAAATGACAGTAATTTAACTCCAGAAAACTGCTGTACAGTATAATTTATCAACACTTGGCGCCCGCACTGCTAGTAATATACTGTAAAAATTCACAGTAAACTGCACAGTGTGTCACAAATCATGTTTTTACATGAACACATGCACCGCGTTGTACAATACTGAGTTTCGAATTGTGCAAAAAGGCAGCCTATAAGTTGTTTTCATCACGAAGATAAACCGATGGTCGTGTTCAGAACAGGAATAAGAATGATATATCGCTGGGCCAATTTCACACCTGGGTAGAGAGTTGCACCTGTGACTCTTACATTATGAAGAGAGATTGGCGTCACGAAAAGGGGGACGATGAATTTGGGAGATACGACGATAGTGAATGACAAAGAGAGGGGCGTTTAATACTAACAATGATAAGGCTGACCAAAGAGGGGGTATGGTGTCCAGTAGCCTTTTTTGAAGCGTGGCACATTAGCAGACGCAATAGGAGGGAATTATTTGAAGCGGGTAAATTTGGAATAAACACAAAAGCTTTTACCCAAAACCAAATAGCGCCCTCCTGTTGTGTATGCCATACCTCGAAATAGGCCAACGGCAAGGGGGATATAAAAGTCATGCTTTCGGTTTTGTAGGCCCTGTTACGGCCGAAAACAGTAATAATCGTCCGATAATGTAACACAAACTGAGAAATAAAAATCGACCAATAATGATAATGAAATAACCCAAATCGTCCGATAATGTAATAATAAAGAGAGCGATAATCTAACAATCATAAAATAGCTTGTATTTTGTAAAGGTTTTAGGATTCATTTTTTTGTTTGAGTTGATCCTATTTACCTGTTTTAATGCATGTTGATTCACTTTTGGCACAACCCTGTCTAAGGTGCTTTTTTCTGCAAAGATATCGTGATATGGGTTTGAACGGGTACCAACCTTGATAAAGATAGCAAACACTACTGAGAGGTCTTTTTGATGTCTACAAGTGTTCAGCTCTTCCACCATAATGTGTTCATAGGGAAGGGGCATAATCATAGTACATTTTTATAGCGAAGCCGACGCATTATGGGTACTGACAGGACAGAGTGAGGGAATGGAGAGTAAAAACCATGAGTCACTCTTGGTGGGGGTTTCTTTTTAAAAGCTTGTAGGAAGAGACGTGTTTCTGTGCAGGCAAAATTATGTGAATAAACCATTAATTTGAATTGTTAGAAATCTGAAGTAGAAAAGCTTAAAAAAGACAGGAAAAACAAATTCTGTGGTGCACTGCCAGATTATCCATCACCTGAGGTCATGTCACGTGACACTGACCTGCATTAATTAGAGTACATCCCCACCTACCTGAAAGAAAATGTAAGGAAAATGAAAAAAAAAATGTCGTCAGACTTACACCTTGGGATAAGGACTGTTGTCCATACCAAGTTAGAATTTGACAGGAACTACGGTCTTGAAGAAATATTGTGAAGAATAATCAACAACACCGGTCACTTTAAATGCATTAAAATGTGGATCGGCCATGAACACTCGAATCAAACTTAATCCCCCAAAAGCTGCACAATATTAGCAAATATAGGATCATTACATCACCGGTTGTTTTGGGGCTATTCCATTATCGGTCGATTTTTATTACACTATCGGCCTGTGTTACATATTGGACAATATTAAATAGTGTAGTTCAGTTGCCGGTACATAAACAGACAAAGAATTGGCTACATCGACCAAAATCACACTGTATATGTCAGTTACATGTCTTTAATTTGGGTTCTTTAGCCCGCTGCACTTGCGTTTCCAAATGTAAACAAAACGAGGGCATGATGGGTTCATTTTAAACAACATAACAACCTCGTTTTGCTCTGTTTTGCAATGAAGTCGAGTACATTAATTTTATTTTCAGGATATGGTTGGAGTAATCAGCTTTGTAGCTAAATTGGACCAAAAAATCATCGAATGCCTTCTAATATTAAACAGAAATCTATGTCTCTATAGCAAGCCTGGGGGAGTCGTGATTGTTTACACTGCTTTTTGGTTAATATCCGCTTGTATATGCAACCGCAGTGACGGTAATGTATTCGATGAAATCGGGTAGTCGCATATGGCAACAAGAAGGCGGATGACGGCGGTGAAATGGCAATGAGGGGCTGTTTATGAAGATGCCGAGGAAAAGGAAGATGGCAATCATAATGACATTCAAGGCAGTGATAGCATTGACAGTCACGAAAACGAAAACCATAAAGATGACAAGTGGGACCGTCAAAGCACGACTCTGGCTGTTGCAAGTCGTTTTCTTAGGAAGAATTTATTTAAAGTTATCTTGGACTGTAGTGTTAAGTGCCATCCGACTTGTTGAGATCCTGACATATTTTTTTCTCGGGATGAAAACATAATAAAGGCAAGATGTTGACATCTTAGGATAATTTATCACGGGATGACGACATCGTGAAAGTTGGATGACGACATCGTGAAAGTTGGATGACGACATCGTGAAAGGTGGATGACGACATCGTGAAAGTTGGGTGACGACATCGTGAGAGTTGGATGACGACATCCTGAGATAATCATTATCTCAGGATGTTGTCATCCAGAGACATCCAGTAAGTGTGATGTCTACTTCACTACTTGCAACAAGCGGTGAGACATAATGACGTTTTATCAATCTACTTAATATTGTGTATGGTAATACGAAGACAATGCTTTAAAAGACAAAAGCACCTCAGGTCACCTGTGCGTTTTCAAGGTGGTTTGTCAATGCACCCATTCACAAATAATGTCATTATAATTCAACTTTTATGATGTCGTCATCCCTGATAAATTATCTCAGGATGTCGACATCTTAAGTTTAATATGTCGTCATCCCGAGAAAAACATGTCAGGATCTCAACATGCCGGATCTCACTTCCAGAGCTCCGTAGTTATCGTTAACTTTTATCCACACGAAATGTTTTCAGCTGTAGGTCAGGTGTTTAATATACATGTGCAGCCTAACAATGACATTCATCTCGGGTGCACGTCAATAATTTAGCTCATAGAATTCATTTTTCCACAATAATGATGTTGATGACTGATTCGGGGATAACTACTAAGAGGTAACAGAGATAGCTTGATCACTGTTGGCAAGAGATTCTTCCAAGTAATTGCATACAAGTTCAGGAATTTCTTTGATGAACAGAACGTCGACCAATATCGTTACTTGCGGATGGAACGTTGCATTTTCATTGCACGTGACAAACAGTCCAAAAGTCATAGAATGGTGATTTCTCGGATGTAGGCCTAGCCTTTGATAAAATTTAAACATCGATAACGTGTGGATGATGCATTTACATACGTCAGGGTCAACACGTGTGTGGTGACGGTGCCCATATATTTAGCTTCCATTCAGCCTGCATTAATTACGATTTAAAACCAGAGTGTAAATGAATTCTATTCAATGACTCGACTCAAGTTCGACTCGAATCACAATTTTTGTGAACAGGTAGATGATTCAACTCACTACGAGTAAACGATTCGACTTGACTCGAGTCCTTCATTGCAAGACCCGACTCGAGTGAAAATTAATAAGACTCGAGTCCCAAAAATAAAAGCAGACTTCTTCGCAAAAAAGCTTTTGCAATGACTTACAATGCCGGTTTATAATATTGATGCTTCGTGTTATTATCAAGAGTGAGATGTAGTGTGGTTAGGGGCTACAAGTAGAAACTAATCGGTTTAAACATGCCATTGCAAAAAGTGACTTCCTCGTTTGCTTTTATTTATGCTATTATGTTCAAATGTTTGTGACTCGAATTAACTCGAGCTTAACTCGACCTTTTGCCTAATTACGATGACTCGATTCCACTTACAACTTGAATAGACTTGTCAAGTAATCGCCTCACCTAGCTGTTTGAAAGTTGTAACGAGATTTACAAAATGTTAAACTGAAACTCTATCCATGTGCTCAAGAATTAAATGCAAAAAAAACCCACAGGATCGTAAAAAATAATACCATGTTATGCCAAATATAGCCATGAAACAGTTGCTAAGGCAGTACTTCCATTGTCGACCGATCTCTTGTTCTTTTCTACACTTGATTTCTAAATTTAAAAGTTTTCGTACTTCGCATGACGGACCAGGACTTCAATTACACAACACAGTCAGTTTCATCTAACTAGAATGTTTTGTTTGACTTTCATGCATGAGTTACTAGACACCGTCTATATGGCGCTGTACGTAATTTGCTAAAGAACCAATCCAGCACCGTGCACGGCACTGGCACCATACTGGGATCAAATGCCAGTTATGTGCTGTGTCCTGGTATGCGTACATGTACATAGCAGCAAGTGTACATATACGTACACGTGGTTCGCATGTAGTACAATGTACATGTACATGTCAATATAATCATGTACGTACACACACATGTAAAGGCAAAACCGGGGTTGTATTAGTGGCGTATCCAGCGGGGGTGGGGATTTTTCATTTATTTATTCATTTTTACGAAGAAATACTTCATAGGTGAGTAGGAAAGAAAGCAATTAGCATATCTATTTATCAAATATTAGTACCAACACCCTAAGCAAACAACACCAGCAAATAAAAGCAAGGATCTCGGGACCGTAAGTAGGGCTTTTGATACCCCCCTACGTCATGTTGAATGAGCCCGAAGCCACATTCGTATTGAATTTGCCCCCCCGACCGTGACCTGCACACCAAAAGCTTGATACGCCGCTGGGCTGTATACTGTGAGTTCATAGGTCTCCTTGTCATATTTTAATGGCAAGTAGACCTCGGTTTCAATAACGAACTTTTTGTCTTCTTCTTTCACCCTGTAAGCACTAAATCATTACGCCCACGAAAGGACAGACGATTCATACGGTAATGAACGTGATCAGTTTTGTTCGATATGTTAACACGTCTAGTCGACTGCCGTCAGGAAGACAAAAAAGTCTAGCCCAAACTGTCAAACCCTTAAACCATACTCCACCGCTGCCACTTTTGAAAAATTCTGGAAAACCTTCAAAAATCGTTCTTTTTCGGAAACTTCTGTTCCCGAAAAGAGCTTTGGGCAAAAAATAACCAGTTTTGTCGACACGGTCACAAGTCACGAAATGCGTCGGGAATTGACCTAATACTGCTATGAAAATAATCTCCGCCTGGTATAATTGCTGTTTCCCCAAAATACACGTATTTCATGAAATGAAATAACTCCTTGCATAAAACAAAATTCACATAGCCTTCATTACCTATGCAAATTATCCCCCAAATCTGACATGCGCAGCACCAAATTTTCCACGTGAATGAAACACGTGAATGCATGTATTGATATGGCAAATAGTAAAAATTCTTAGGTCATCCGCACAGAGTTCAACGTACTAATGTTCTACTGATAAATCAAACAATGTTTTTTTGAGAATGAACACTTACCACACATGATCTTGCCAAAGGGTCGATACTACGAGGAAAGATATAAAGAATACCAGGAATCGATACCAGTCGGTCCCCAGGCTGCTCCATAAATCCTGCAGGAAAAAAAAAAAAACTTACACTTCACCCGAGACTCCTGTCATTGGAGTGCAATTTGTACGTTTGTAAATTCAACCTCATGTTTATTTGCAACAGTGTGGTTAAATGAAAATATTCTGGCTTAGAAACTAAGGAAATTAATTTTGGAAGATTTCAAAGTTTGGTACCATCAACATAAAAGCTCGGAATTCTAATTTTTTTGTTGCACTTTGTCCTTTTCACTTATACAGATATATATTTTCACCCATTTGTCCTCATCCTGATCATTCCCAAGGAAGGTTTTGGGGTAGAATCATAGCAGATTGAGACGGATTCCTCGAGTCTGTGAGCCTGAATTCGGGTCCAAGTCCACAAAAGCCGAATGGCCGAGCCCGTCAAAAAAATGGGGGGGGCTACATTCAATAAAATTAAATACATTATGTTACCTTTGTGACGTCATAATTCTGCACTTCCTCTTTTATTGGGACAACCTGAAAAAAACAAAAAACACGGAAAAAGAAAACTTCAATTTTGATTTCTCATCCAATTATAGCTGCGATTTAATGATGGATTGTGAAAGACCTGATTTCTCTTCAGACCTAGAAAAGGTGATGATGAAGGTTATGGCAAAACATTTCTTAACTGGTATGGCATGAGGGTCACGTGACCTTATACAATGGCCGTCCCGTTTTGTCCCTGGTTTGACAGTGAATCGGTGCTTCTTTAAAAGAAGGAGCTCTTGTAGTTCTTTTATATCTTTCTAAGAGATAATATGGAGCCACTAAACGATGATTCAGTATTTGTTTGTTTCGTTCACATATGCTTTTGCCCCATAATAAATTATTGTATGTCTACTTTAAGAGTCTGTTCCTCTTCCTTGGACGTGAAAGGGTAACTGCTATTCTGCCTTTTAAGCTAATGAGATTTCCATATTCATGAGCAAAACTGTGATGTCATTCTGGAAAGAGACTTTCCGAGTCGGTGTTGCATTGGATTGTGCACCAAAAACTTATGATTTTGTAAAGATTTTGTTGGCCTCAATTTCCTTTTCCTTGTTGATTCACTGTCGTGTCAGTTTATAGCAATTAGCGAGCAAGTAACCAACTCTCCAAACTGTTTTCAGCACGTTAATTTGACGTTAACAATTTCAACAAGTAAACATATGCATTGTAACATGTCTTCCCTGTATGACATCACAGTATGCAACAGCACCATCAATTTTTCAGGAGAACACAGGCATTTTTCAATCGTGCTTTAAAAGGTGCATTTTTCATGGTATTTAATCGAAAAGCAACGTCGAATAAGTTTCATACACTGAAAAAGTTTCCGGAAAGTAGGTCTAAAAACATTTATTGCTGCTACACTTTAAGTTCGTACATTATTCGTGATAATCTGATTAACATAAAATACCGATATGGCTTCTGTAATATAATTCTCTTCATTTGAGCTTAATTGTGCTTACTTAAGTCCACGTCAATTATTCAGTGAAGAGCATGTCCATGTTTATAATACATAACTTATACTTGCTTCGACTTACATGTAAATGAGGTATAAAATATGAAGAATCTTTCAAGTCTTTACCATGAATGTGGTGATTGTGGCAAACACGGCATCGCTGAAGATGTTGAGCCGATCGATTGGCATGAATCGATGTTCCCTAACGCTTGTCTCTTTATCCAGCCCCTTCACCTCGTTGTCCAGTTCCTCCCCTTCCCTTTCTGGCTCACCGCCTCTGTTCTCTGCATTCCTGTGGCTGTCATCATCTGCCGCTGTCTGCTGCGCGGGATCTCCATCACAAGCCATCTTGATCTATACGTGCAAAAATGGGAGATCTGCATGCGATTACTCGAAGTTGGCGAAGCGGCAACAATTTAAGCTCATCACGTTCGTTTTAACTTAAAGCAGAATATGTCTAAAATCACACCAAAGTACAGCTGATGCCTGGCGCAATCACACAATGCCTTGGCAATAATAAAATGAATTTCTACTCGAATAGTACTTGTATGCAAGTAGTATTACGCTCAGGAATTCTCTTCAATTGCTCAGGAAAAACCCTTGGCTCTGACGGTACGCTTAGTCTAAATCTTCAACTTTGCAACCATGTCGAGTAGGGCCCATAGTACATGTAGATACATGTATACAGTTTACCACGCACAGTGGAGTTGTGGTCTTTCTCAGTAATGTGCTCGGCTCGCTGTTGATGGCGTAACTGTTGCACGTAATAGGATTATGTTGTGACCGAGTTGCACCACTCTACAGTAATTAGGACAGCTCGTGTATTTTCTCTCCGCCGAAAACGGAGAGCTGCGAACCCGATTGGACTTCGTCCTCTCTGGGATATCGCTAGCGTAGAGACAATAAAGTGGCTGCCTCCTCATTAATTGACAAATGCCTCGATCGGACCCGATATTCTAATAGAAATGCAATACATGTATCACGGTTAACCATGGAACTATAAAAAAAAGGTTAACTTATAAAACCACCGGTCCATGGACGTTACCTTTTCCTGGGCCTCTGTTTCTACGGAAAGCCTTGGTTCGACCGTCTGCAGTCCGCCTATTTTCCCACTGCATGTGCTCACAGCAAATTAAATACGTGTACGTTTACTCATCTGGTTCATTATTATGGCCAATGTGGTATCGCAATGGGGGCCCTGTGTGGCCGTTTAGTAGCTATGATCCTGCTCGGACTAGCTAGCCTACTTCGGCAATCCATTGACAAGATGGGCATACCCCCTATTGCTCCTATGGGCATACCAGTCAGCGCAACCGGCTGTCCAAGCTGTTCAGTGTTGACAAGAAGCAGGATGTTAACGTACATCCACGCACAACTTCATTAATATTTCGTAAACTACGGCTGGCAGTCGGTAGCAATGATAGCAAAATAATTCACTACATGTGAAAGAATAATTCTGTACGTGCCAACATCTCCTGCAGCTATCAAAACACCCAAACATTCGACACTATTTCTAAATACTGAATGAAAACACAACCCTTTTTGGAAGTAATTGGATAAATCATGCACACTCTGATATTAAATCTGACACAAACTATTTTCTGCGAACACTGGCTGCCCATAAAAATAGCTGGGGCAGTTTGGGATTTCCATTGTTAAAACTTCCGTTGAAGGTCAGACATGCGGACTCCGTGGGGGAACAGCCTTTGTATTCTCGTATAGTGTATATTGATTTTTGTGGCACAGTTCACACTGCCAAAAACCTGTTATTTGATGGATCCTCCATGGATGGATCCCTGCAGGCCTTTTGCTTGTTCAATATAATATATATGTATCCTGATATCAGAGGCCACGATAGAATGGACCTTATTCCTGAGGAAGCCATTTTGATCTTGTCATCTAATCTGTTTTCCTAAATTAACTGTTGAATGAGATTGTGTCAGATGATGCAGTTCTCCGTAGGAAACTTTAAAGGAAGCAAGCTAATCAACAACAGGATGTCCTTTAGTTCAGCGTTGGCTTCAGATTTATGTATTTCAAAATCTTGGGAAAACTCCGGATGCATGATTATCGTGATTGTTTTTACAGTATCACTGGAAATCAACGAATTTCACCTCTAGAAAAAGGCCACTGCTTCATTAGACGACTAAAACAACACAAGAATTACACTAGACATCGCGTCTCCATCACAAAGCCGCAGTGGCGCGCGTTTGACCCTGAATACAATAAGCAAATCGGAGTGGAAGGAGGGAACATACGTCAGCCATATCAAATACGCGAAAAAACGAAAATACCTATCCTTGCTAAGCCTCTGTTAATCACAGTTTGCTAATTTATTTTTCAATGATTATCATCAATCAATAATTTATGGTGAATTTATTTCAAATCAGTGGTTATTGTGTTAAATTCTAGAAGACTGAACAATTCATGGTGAAATTATTTAAGGCAACGAAGAAGAAAAAGCAAAATGTGCCATTAGCTCCTGCTGGATTTATGCATTGACCGGGCAACGTTTCCTAATTTACATACACCCGGCAGGACTCTGCCGGATTCATTACCCTGCTATCGGTTCCTACGTTCGGAGGACCTCTGTAAGACGTCTGCTGTCTAGACAATACTTACGGGACGAAAACCGGTCTATTGCCCACCGAGAATGGTACCCCAAACTTATCGTACAATTTGTGTTATAGCTCACAAAGAACGGAACCCTTCTGATTTCTTTCGCCCTCGTGCGCTTCAAACGAACGAAAGTTTTCATTTCTATTTTGCTCGATCTCCAAACATTCCCCTTACACCAAAAATTAATAGCTATAATGATATTACAGGGTTGTAAAGACGAAAGTGAAAAAAAGATGCAGAAGCTGAAAGAAAATATTGAAATTTGTGCCCCTGTACATTTTCAATGGGCCGCTCAAGCTTTTTGCCTGAACATGCCATTTATGCGCATGTGCACATAAATTAGCCGCCTCCCAACAAACTAGGAACACTTTCCATCACTGAATAATATATCGAACACAAACTGTATATAATTACACGTACATGAACAGGAACGGCGCTATAATGCAAACCGATACATTGTTCTCCGCTATAAATTATCACAGTTATGTGTCTGGGTCCATCGACAGTTCTTGTCACAACTGTTGAGTGACTTGATGTTTGAATAGCGGTTGTTTACTTACCCATAGTGCGTATGTTTGTATAACGTCAGCAGGCCTTCAGCAAATATTAAACACCGCCGATCATTCCGAGCAAGGGTTCACGCTGAACGCGACTCTTCGGTGCTGTCAATCTAGACTAAAGACCGACTCTCCGAGTAAACAACCAGGATCACAAAATCGATACCAGGACCGGGACCTATTGCATGGGCCCCCGACAGCCCAAGACCGAAAAATAAGTGTAGTATACAAAATGCATGCCAGAATCCCATGTTAAATGATGCCAAATTAGCTTTTCCCCTACACTAATCAGAAAACGACCGGAAAAAGTTTGTTGTTAAAGTTACATGTATTTCTCGTTGTTTTCATTACTTCAAATGTTTTCCATGTTGTGGCCAGTGGCGCCAGACCTCGATGGCTGGTGGGTGCAAGTGTGGGGCAAGGCTTAATTTGCTATGTAACAAATTTTGGTGGGTGCAAACATGGGTGAAAGCGGCTGTTCAGTATTTGCGCTCACATGACACCACGTAGCGCCACCAGTGTTGGTGGCACATCGCAACACAAGGTTTGTCACAACAATGTGGACCCGTACACGCATGTTTCTAGCTACATGTCACGGAGACGCGCGACCAGAAGACTGTGAAAGTAGCGTGCGCTTTTCGCGGCAACAATAAAGGCGCACTTAATACAAGAACAGCCTGCAGGCTGCACGTTTGTAACAACTTACGACTCTACTTGTGTGACGTTATCGTTAAGTTAAATCACTTTTTAATGTGTATGTTTTTTGAGTGAAATAGGACAAGGTTGACCCTCCCAAGACCAGTCTCGGTCTGCAGACCAGTTCATTGGCCCTTCGAAGTATGACGGACACAATAGGGGGGGGGGATTTCTGAAGTGGAACAATTTCACAGACATATGAACGCATGCACCTGCGGTCTTAAGCGTATGCCGGGATAAGTCTTATAGACTGAATCCAAACGAATAAACTTTGGGTGCTTTTGAAAAAAAACAAAAAACACATGTTTATTCGTGGGTGTGTCACTGTGTGATTTATTTCTACGTTGAGACTAAAATGGAGCCTCGGGTGGGTAGAAATAATAAGAATTAAAACTTGTGTAAACCGCAACCATGTTTAGCCAAGCTGTGGGTTGGGTTGTACCTGAGAAAGTATCGGGAATACATTTTCATCCCTTCGGGGACTCATCAGCCGCCTGATTCAAATATGAATCGGGGTGTAAAGGTATGGTTAGTGAGTGGCATGACACTCACTAGACGGAAAAAGTGATTACCGTTCCTCTGATCATGATATTTGTGCGCAATTAGTTTGAATGGGTTTGTTCATTCAAAAGTGAAATGAGAATATCTAGAGCGTAATCAGATTCCTCAGGTGTGGCGGACTGATCGTCCTCCGGGTGGTTGAGTTTGACTCTGACAATGTTCTCCTTGATATTTTGGCTACCTTGTAGGCAACTAAAGGAGGTTTAGGGAAAACTTCCTTTAATATTGGGTTGCCAGAGATGAGGTGCCAGTGTTTAAGAAGAGCTCTTTTGATATCTTTGTGTTTCTCATGAGGATTGTGCATAGTGGTGAAAACGAGTTGAAGTTCTTTTTTGTTTTTCACATTTCGCTCCTTGTGAATCATAGATTCCCGTTGCCAGCAATCAATGGACTGCATTGATCTTTGAATCTCGGCTTGATTACAGCCTCGTTTCAAAAGTTTTTCTGCGAATCTTTATGTTCTTTGTAGAAAATAATTCCCATTATTTGTATTTCTGGCATATCTCAGTATTTCTCCTTTGATAAAGCCGTGGAATACGTGTTGTGGATGAGATGAAGTTCTTTTCAGGTATTGGAATGTTTCCGTTTGTTTCGTGAATACTTTCGTATCCAGGGTACCGTTTGCGAGGAAACGCGGACCTTTGAAAATTGTAAGGTCCAGATAGGTAATGGAAGTT